AGNTGAAAAATAACGTCATCACGCAGGTGAGACGACTGCACACGAGCGCACAGTATGAGTCAGATGAGTACCGTACTGCCGGACGGCAGGACTGATCCATTTCCCAATTCGAAAATATTTGCCTACTATTACTATAGCTGTTATTGTATGTCCACGCGCCTTGTATACCAATACTACGCGTTGAGCAGGTCGTAGCAGACAAAGATTGATCAATCAATAAGATTGCATTTCCTTTTTTTTGCCCCTTTTTCATTGCTACTAGTGGAGCTTAAAGAAACAACTAGCCACAGTCATCGAATTGGGATTGACATTGGCTTGGAGTCGACAGAGAAAGGCAAACGGATCATCTTGTTCTTTCTTTTGCATTGAGTGATTGATTTTTTCCTTTTTGCCCCCCTCGTCCCATTCAACATCCCATGCCAAGTGAGATCATCAAGACATCATAGTCGACCACTTGGACTTGGTTGTTCGCTTTCCCCTTATTTTGAAGAAGAATTGCATTCATGTCGATCAAGTCATTATGTTGCTTTTCTCTGCGAGGACTTGCTAGTCATAGGCAATGTATTCGTCGTATTTTGATCTTTTTCATGTTGTTCTTGTTGGTGTATATCATCAAATGGTTGAGTGATACCCCAATCTTCAAGGAGAATCATCAACAACAACAAGCTCAACATTCTAAATCTTCAATCCAAGTGCAACAACGCCAAGATCAAAATGGAGCCAATTCTATACAAAAGGAATATAATGCAAATCAATGCGTTAATCATCATCAATCCATTAAAATCAACTACTTTAATAGGCAGACATTTCAAGGCAAAAATTTCAATGGTAAAGTCTTTATACCAGCTGAATTTTTATCCAGCCAATTTGGTTGGGTTGGAGAATCACAAAATTTAAATGGTGAGAAAGTATGGTCCATCAGCAAGCGAAAAGCAAGAGTGGTCGATCCAATCGGTCGTTATAACTATAAAGGACCCTTTACCTGGTTTAATTTTTATAAAGTGGAAAAGAGAGAGCGAGTCAAATATATCGATAGTGTCACTGGTGTTCCTATCTCCACTCAGTGGTCTCAAAAAGGCTATTTCTATCCCACTCAAATTTGCCAATTTGCATTAAGCCATTTTACACGATTATTACTCAATGGGACCAAAATCAATCAACGTATCCTATTCGATTGCAAATCCATGGACATAGTCTCAACTTGGAAAGTCCATCAAACTACCTCAATTCAGTGTATCGATGCTATCGTAGATGGACCCAATAAACGGGTCATGAAATTTGCTCAAAGTCGTGGTTAGTAGCTATTTGAAGGACAATACAAATAAATCTTCATTCCATCGGATACATGGATAGACTGTAATAGTATTCATAATCATGATCGTAATCGTCAATCCGTTTTATCATTTTTCCCCCATCTTGCCATTGATAGGCTTTGTGTTTTACTATCAGAATTGACTATTCAACAAGCAACTCCTTTTTCCATAATCTGCTTTTAGCCAACCTATGATCATACAGTACAATAGTCACAGAGTAGCTCCAGTTTAACCTACTAGCAAATGCAATCTATGAACTTTGAACCATATACTGTACATCACTTTTCTCTTCTAGACGAGTTAAAATAGACGACTATACCATTTCCAGGTATACTGAACCCATCGATTGATTGAGTATTTCCAAGCTTTCAGTCGAAACTTGCTCACTAATCTACTCTATAGCTTTATCATGCTACAATTCTCAAAGGCATACAGACAGTATACTGTAGCTCTGTAGGAGATCATACAGCTGTTACGTTATTATCGTCCACTTTGCTCAAACCCGTCTGCATTGGAACTTGATGTTGACCAGACATAATAAACATTAGTGCAAAGAAGCATTCATATTATCCTTAAACTGGAGCCATTGATTCTTTTTAGTTAGTACTCTACCCTACCCTATTGCATTTCTACCACAACACCAGTGCCGTAATACAATCTTTTCCAGCTAACGATGAATAAAACTGTTGATAGTCTGCAGTAAATACTGTATCGCTAACAACGTTTTACTTGTTAAAATAATGATATCATAGAAGCTCTTTTAGGAAATTGCATTAGTTTGTAAAATGTGTCGTCAATTATTTTTGAATGAGCATCTTACTGGATAAGTGTATTAAATCTAGCATTTCAGTAAGCCTTTTAGCAGACAAATGTTTTGCTTCTATCTTAGCTCCCAAGTATTATTCTTACAATGTTTCCATGCAAAAAAACAAATATGGGTTGGGATATACTGTACTATGTTGAGAAAATTTTTGATCATATATGTGTATAATATACATACCATCATATCCACCTGACACTCGCTTCGTTATAATGCTATTATATATACGAGATGATGCACTAACAATAATCCATTTCTCTCTATATCAATCCTTATGCAGATTCTTCCAAAGCGATGTCGTTAAATATGCAGTCAAGCTTTAAACGGTTCATTGCTAGATTTGAAGTTCAATTCAAAGGATCAGGAAGCATTTCCTTTCTAGTTACTACGAAACGACAGCAGCAGTTTACAATCCGCTACAGTACTGCAAAGGTAGGCGTTAGCTTTTCTGAACGATCCAAAACTGTCATATACGGCATAGGTACACGAAATGTCCTCTCTAGAATCACTAGAGATCTTGAAATCGACCTATGTAAAGCTCTTTTACTAGAACGGAGACGAAAGGGCTCTCGAAAAGGTGCATTGTCTAAGAAAGCTGCCTTGATTTCTGTGGATGCAGTGACATTACAAGGAAGTGGCTTGTTAGGAAAACTCAGCTTGGTGGATAGTGCCGATAAAGATTTCTTTATAGATGCTGCAAATTGGTTAGTCGCCAACCAAGATAGAAGTGGCGGCTGGCCCGTCAGTGTTAGTCATAAAATAAATAAACTGACTCTAACCCTAAAGCCAGGATGGTACTCTGCTATGGCCCAAGGACAAGCAATGTCGACCTTGACCAGAGCGTTTCACTTGACCAAAGAGTACAAATACCTACGAACGGCGCTATTAGCAACAAAGCCTTTCCACATACCAGCAAGTGAAGGTGGTGTACTTGCCACTGTATTTGGTACTTATAAATTCTATGAAGAATATCCTACCAAAATACCACTGCTAGTATTAAACGGCTTTATTTATTCCCTTTTCGGTCTTTATGACCTTAAATCTGCTGTTGAAGATGTCAATGCCCATAATATAACTAGCGATGCTGCTGAATTGTATCGTGATGGAATCAGAACGTTAAAGAACCTCCTTCCTTTATATGATGCAGGTTCTGACACTTTTTACGATTTGCGCCATGTAGTTATAAAGGCTGAGCCGATTATTGCCCGAAGTACTTATCATGCTCTTCATATCAGCCAACTGTTACATATTGATACTATTGAAGAGGACCCTTTATTTGCAAGAATAGCTAAAAGGTGGATGGAATATATGAACGGCGGCCGAGCTAATCATAACTAACTTGCTAAATTCTAACCCATAACATTTTATATATCCATTTTATAAAGATAAAATTTTAAATTGACCCTTTCTTATGTTTTATTATACACAAACGAAGATGATAATACACATACAATCAATTGTGTTGTATAGAATATAGGAAACCTGCTGGATTATGATCTACTTACTTTAATACCATATTTACAGCCATGAGGTGTATACGGTCATTACTGTACTATTTATGGCACCCTTGTAAATTTTACTACTACAGCAATTTTATTTATTTATTTAAAATTTCTCGGACTTATCATGATTTTGACTCAATTTCTTACTATTATGGTTTATTTAAATGAAGACTGCATTTCAGTAATCAATTATTTAATGGTCACAATTAATAACTACAAATATATGTAGAAAACCTTGTGATGTCTGGAACGATGACTTCAAGCCAAATTGTATATGGCTACAGTACAAGCAATAACTTCCTCTACTGTTCTATGAATTGGGCTATAAAACAGAACATGTCTTAATACCCTTCATCACTTAAATTTAATTTATATGCTCTAACCTTTCTCCCTGACATGTCTATTCTTGTAACTAAATTATAATTTTAGATATGAGAATTATTAAACTGTTTTAATATCTACACTAACTAATACTGATCTACTATGTACTATGTAATATCATAAACTCTTTACAAGCAAGATCACATTTTGAAATTGAGTTTTAAGGTTTGCTTTCGAAAGGAGCATCGTATTACAATATATCACATGGAAGGCTCTTCGGAATTTACTATGAAAGACGGCTGATCTCAATTTAGCTTGTAATGTAACTGTACAAAAGTCATCAGAACAGTAGAACAAGTTCATTCTTCTTTGCCTCTTTGAACTTGATATACAATACAGTAGAATCCAGATAGTGATATTCACAGTATTCTAGTTATGAGCAGATATTAAACTTGGATACATTTCTTCACAGTAACCTGAAACTATTGTAGCAACTGGCACTATACAAACCTATGCGATTTTAACTATTCCAAACGCTTTAGGATCACGTACGGTATGATCTGTCCTCTAACGCAAAAAAAAGAAAGAGCTAGCCAATATTCTGATAATCTTCTGAATATTATTGTATGTGTAGTACATAGCTACAAGTATATTCACGCTATATATCAGTGGATTTAAATGAATTACAAAATAATATTGTCTCTGGTGTAAGCTAGCAATAACACGGGGTAATCAATCTATTGCGCTCTACCACTCAAGTCACACAAATCACTTACTTGCCCATTCCCTCTTTTTCGATATATATAGTACGTATGAAAGCAATACTTTCATTATAATCTAAAATCGAGAAATGCTATTGTAGTATACTAGCTATCGCTCAATTGTTTGCAAGTTAAAATCAATAAAATGGTAATCTTGAATTGCTTATGGTGCACTCCTAATCTACTGTATTTAATCAATCATCCTTAATCTAGCGTCATTATTTAAGAGTGCATCTTAGTCTCAGTATTGGATAAACATTTAGGTATTAACAGTAGCAAATATGGGGCAAAATATTCAAGGAATATATGGCATCGTATACTACGATTCTTTTTATCTTATGTAATGGAGCGAAATGGACGTTCAATTGAACAAGTAATTCTATTGCTATATTTTTAAAGCATCTGAATTATCATTTAAAGCTAGTCGCTTTACATTTTCAGCTATTCATTGCTAAAAAGGAAAATTTTTAAATATTTTTATCGAATATCTCATTGACAAGGTAGATTCTAGAATGTACCAATTTAGAAATTCGATCAGTGAAAATTCAGATTGAAGAATTTCGATTTTCTAGTTCGCTGTTAGTGTTGTAGACGAATTATGACCGGAGGGCTTTATCAAAAGGTTACCGGTTGCATGATCAATCCATGCTACTCACACGTTGACGAAAGGATCCGGCACTATCGTTGTGGTTTTTAATTAATTTAATGGCTTTGTTCTCACCTTTGAGTTATATTTGTTTTAATAATATTTTGCCTGATTATACCCTAGCAATGTCACTTACTGAGGAGTATAGTGCTCTCTATGTATTAACCTAAAAGAAGTTGTCTACACTATACAGAAGTGTAAATCACACTATTATAAAAGAACAGATGATTATAAATGCAGTTCTGTAGAAATTGCTTTAGGAAGTAGGAAATTATTGTCCACTGCATAGCTAATGGCACTGTTGTATTTTGACATCTTTAACAAGGTATCATACTATATATTCGTATACGAAGCTACAGTTAAGTCAGGTTAAATTAATCCTTGAATATTGTAATTAAAATAATTACGATTTACGGTTGCTATCACACTGGTAGTACTCTACTTATCAAGTGAGGTAGCCCTTCATTTGAAATTAAAAAATTATCCTTTCACACGGTCTATTTAAAAGTTGATGTCTGTCTAGTTAATCATTTGGACGTCTGTCTATAATAATTATTTTTAATAATTCTGCCTGCTTTAATATTATATCTCATTATCGTGAGCGTACAATGTTCTAAACAATGGCTGATTAATTAATTGTAGATTATGACCTTCAAAGAAACAAAGCTCAAACCCTGCATACAGTTTTTATGTATATTGACAATATCAACTAATTATTAATTTCTATTCGACCATCTTATCATTTGTTGGTGCTATTAAACGATAGATCTAGCTAGATGCTCTGATCAACTTTATTACTAAAGGCTGTGTAGTCTACAATAAGCCGACTGTCTACGCCATATCAAATTGATCAAATCTATCTTTCATGCACTTCTTAACAATGTAATTTTCACTGCATTACAATCGCTTAGTCAAGGTTAGAAAGTATAGTACCTTAATTAATTATTTATCATTTATTGGTCATAGGCATCACCATAATAATCAAAATACGTAATGATCATATGCCATTAATTATTGCCGCAAAATGGTCAATTTCATAATCAATGTCTAGTATTTGGTTGAGAAATTTGGTACTGATCGTGCCAGGATCCATGAATTCAGTATACATATGCCGTTCATTACGATGCAAGATCTTTATATCATGGATCACTGATATTTTAGCAAATAAGACAAGTGAATTAAAACTATTGTTAACGCAGATGATGATCACAAAGAGTTGTTTTAAGGGAAGCAAATATTGCTAATAAATGATTAGCATCGTATGTATAATAAGAAATGGAGTCAATGTTAAGTTATGCAAATAATGAACAACAGATACTATACAATATTAGCATATTGCGTAACGTTTAAATTTGTTTTTAATCAATACGGTAAAGTAATGTTGATTATGTAGGAAAAATTTGACTAATCTGACAACATATCAGATAAAATGGAACTCATTCCATCTCTGGATATTGTTATTGTGGTCAAATTTTCATCTTTCATCATGATTACTCAAGATAAAGTGTAATAACTAGTTGAACAAAAAATATTGATCAGATTAAAATACTTATACATTAGATTACGATATAAATTGTAAACACAAATAATTATATACAGTATAATGAATACATCGGTTAGCTGAGCGTATTACTAACAAATTAAAGTCAAATATTATTATAATACATTGAAGAATTGAAGCAATATACTTGAAAGGAGTTTCAAAAAAATCGTAGTGGATTTTATTTCTTGCTCCAAGGACTTCCATTTTTTAGTTATAATGTAAACTTTATTCCAGTCAATACTAGCAATTAAATTGTGCCAAAAAGGATGAAATTCAAGGTAAGAATTTACAAGGTACAGTATGAAAGCAACACTTAAGAAAAAATTTTCAAAGTGTTTTTCTTCATTTTTAAATCTATTTCGAGTAATTATATTCATAATGATATTAAAAATCAGTATTTCAAATAATTTACGTCTTTGATTTCGTTTTCGATATAGCCCATTGGCTTAACATCGAATTTTATTTCAACCGACGATTCAGATTGGTTTAAACTATTAGTTGAATAAGGGCTAATTTTTTAAGAGAAGATTATAAAGTTCAAATCGTCTGGAATAGAGACAATTAACTGATTCTAACGACTCTTAATTTGTTCAATCGAATGATAGAAACGTGTTGAAAACATTGAAAATAAAGACAACTCTCTATCGCGCATGTGATATAGAATCATAAGTGGAAAGTATAGTAGCCCTATATTGTGTGTAAAATCTTGACAATAGCAACATACGCGTAGAATATGTATTGTTATCCATGGATATATTATGCTCATCAGTCTATTTCAGAGTAAAAAATATCAAAGCAATTACAATTCTTCACAGCCAATTTGAATCAACATGAATTTGTTAATATTGATGATAAACGTTATTTTAGAATTCTTATGGAACGGCTATTCTTTATAATACTATTAGCAGCATACAGAGATTAATGTAAAAATGATTTAAAATCAAGTCTACTGCGTTGAGCTATTTTCTCAGTTGCAATTTTATCACAGCACTAGCTTGGTATAGACCTAATTGATAAAATCTGTTATCAGTGGTAAGTTGTAAGCGATTAAAATAACCATGACTATAGTTTACCGCTTGTCAATTAATTTTATTAGAAAAACTAGCCATTTCCTCCATCGTGTGATATACATGTTGTCTACAGGCACTACCATAGACCCATTCACTTCCTATGATAGGATTTTATAGTCTAATTATTGTACTGATTCTTAATGCTTCAAAATTTGTATTATTTACCGAGCAAAGTCTGAAATTAATTCGTGTTGATTTGAACTGATTATATTGTCAAAAAGGGAGAAAAATAGAGGACTAAGATAAGATTGGTGAAACAATCTGCAATATGTTATGGTTATTAGATTAAAATGAAGGTGTAATGAGTTGAGAAAAATAATTACTTTATACACATAATAACGTTATTGCCATGAATTTAATCATTCCTTTGATTGAATACGACATCGGTCGGCTGGATTATTTCCTTGACAAAAGACGAGCATGCATATGATAACAATAGCGCCTACTGTGATATATTTCAACTGATGATTATCAATGTGATTTAGAACTAGTCAT